TATTATCCAAACTTGTTGAAATTGAGTGAAAATTCCATTATTATCGCCACCCTTTGAAAGTTTAATCTCCTTGTTTTATATTCTGTAAATAAATTTATTTGAATGAAAACATATATTTCGCGATTCTTCTCGTCGGAAAATTTTTATGTGGAAGCCAATTGAGCAACATATTTTTGTGGCTATCTTGTTGGCAGATGGTGCCAGTTGATTCAGATGATCTGTGGCATGCGTTCAATTTGATAGCTCCGGGAGACACTGTTATGGCTGTTACTGTTAGGTATCTCCTTTGGCAATGCTCGAGTTCTTTTTATTTCTAATTTAATCTTTCTTGTTTTAGTACAATTTTTAATCTGGGTTTGTCTGTATGACACAATTTTGGAAAAAAAGTATAATTTTTAACGCCAGCAGTTAGTTAAATGACTATATTTTCAACTTTGAACTTTGAATTTTTTAGCCCTAAACTTGCCTAAGTGATGAAATTAGTACTTCCTCAAAACTAAATTTAAAAATTTATCGCCTGTAAGTAATAAATTACACAAATTTCTTTAAAAAACACTAAAAATCAAACTACGAAAGTGGCCAGGACGAATCATGAAAATATAGGAACTTAGCCACAAAAGTAAAGCCAAAAAAATGCCCAAATATAGCTAAACACGACTAGAAGAACCAATACAAAAATTGTCTTATCCAAAATAGTGCTTATAGCTAGCCACAAATCTTAAAAATAAAAAGAATGAAAATTAAACTAATTGAGGATACTAATTTAACTGCTTATTCAAGTTTAGGGTCCAATTTGATTAAGTTGAAAGTTAAAGCCTTAAATGTTAAAATTGATTTGTTGAACTTAGTATGAGCTAAGTACAGGGTTAAGAATGAATTCTGCCACTAGTTTTCTAGCATTCTTATTTGTACATTGTTTTGGCATGCATATGATTGATGACAGGAAAGTCATCAGAGAGATGGCTTCTGGAGGAAGAGATGCAGAACGAGTGAAACTCAAGCTAGAAATAAAAGTTGAGGAGGTATGAATTTCTAACAACTAAGCATTGGCATGGTAAAAGGAATGTAAAATCCGGTGATCCTGTGAGAGCCGTTTGAAGTATTCCGTGAGTCCAATTGTTTAAGTGCATTATTCTTTTGTTCAAGGTATTATTTATTGTTAAAACGTAAAAGGTAGTGCTCGGGCTAGTTAAGCACCTCCCAGGATATATAGAGCTCCCGCTGGCTATTCTATAAATGTAGGTTTTTCTTATATGAGATAAAGAATTCATTTGTATGTAAAAAGTAAATTATAAAAGAAGAAGATGAGAAATACTCCTAGAAGAGACACATTAGAACTCGAGACAAATTAGAAGTAGCAACTCCATTTGTTTTCAACTAAAACTTCTAATTAGAAGTAGGAAATTCGCCCAAACTTTGGATACCAAGATACTACTAATGGATTTATAAACCAACCAAGACCATCTTTTATCCATTATATCCTTATAGAACTTTGTTAAAACATCAGATTGTAATCCGACAACCCGTTACTCAGAAATATGAAATAGTAATAATAATATAAATAATATTTTTTTTTATAATTTATTATTATTATTATTATTTTTTAGTTTGGCATTATGCATTCATACTCTTACATATGCCCCTTCAGCATTCATTTTGTGTACAATCCATATATTGGTATTTGTTTGAAGATGCTCTCCCATATAATTTTTGTTCACACGGAACATCTTTTAGGTGGCAGATTATGACAAAGTTGGATCTGTTTTGCGGATACGTGGAAGAAATGTTCTGGAAAATGAATATGTGAAGGTAGCTACAGTATGATATTAGTCAATTTTTGCTGTTATCAATATAAGTGATTCGTTTACTAAAAGATTAGCCATCTAGTATCATTATTTGTTCGTTGGGTATTCAGAGATGATTGAGCTTATTAAAATTACTAACGTTTCATTTCAGATAGGGGCTTACCATACTTTAGAACTTGAGCTGAACCGGCCATTTGTTTTGAGAAAGGTAAAAATTTCCTTTGTCCTTTGAACATCGTGTGACATATAACTTCTCAATCTCTGCACATTTCCCAAATTGGCGTTTTTCTGCATGCAACGCATCCCCTCCATAAAAAGAAGACCCTTTAATACGCAGTACATTTTTGAAAGGTGCTCTCAAAATAGCTATTGGTTTATAAAAGATAGTATCTAGTATTAGAACTTGTTGCACTAAGTTGGTTAACAATAATATCTTATATTTTTTTTTTTATAACTGGGAGTTTGAGCTTTGCTCCCCAACAATAATATCTTATATAGCTTTCTTTTTGGGTTTTTTGGGGGCTGTTTATTTACTCCTAAAGAGAGTTTTAATTGAGCTTTCTAGATAACTTTCCACAACATAAGTGAAAAGTTTTGTTGCAGTTTTTTGTCTTCCTTGAGAAAAGAGTTCGTATTCTTTTTCCATCTACAACAGCTTGATGTTTGGAATCAGAGGCCAGTACTATATTCTTTACCACATATGTTGACTTGTTATTAATTTATTTTTCCAAATATTTGCATGAACTATGAAATTAAAGTTTATAAACATCACGTGGCTTTTTGGTGTGTTCTTCCTAAAGAATTTGAGAATTATTCATCCTCTGCAACCAGTTCTTATTGAGCCATTGAGGGGTTTGGTCTAACAAATTTTAGGACTATTCTTTGACATAGTCTATTGTAATACTTCTATAAGGAGTTGAATGTCTGCTATGTTGTGACTTTTCAAATATCAACGCAAGTTATTTTATTGTAGAAAAAAAGTTTCTTAATACTGACAGGTTGCTTTGTTTGCACATTTTCTAGGATGTTTGGGACTCTTTTGCTCTAGATGTACTCCATCAAGCTTCTGGTATGTTTCTAGATAAATTACTATTGCTTTTGTCATGTTCTAATTCTTTAAACAATTGATCAAATGAAAATAAACAATAACTGTTAAAAGGAAACAAGCTTTGAGAAGGAGCGAAAAGAAACAAAAAAAGAAAATACAAATCTAAGAAAAAAATTCAAATCTGCTGAAAACTGAGGCTGCAAAAAAGAACAAATAAAATAACAGAGGCCCTCAAAAAATGCAAATTCAAGAGCCATTAAATATAACCCTCCCATTGAGCTCTTTGCATGATAAATTTCTTCCTGCTCCAAAAAAAACTTCAATCTCCTGCTAAAAGATCCAAGAAACTAGATTCAACTATTTACTCAACTTTCAACCCTCTTCAAAGGAAATCTCAAGATCAAAATGAGAAAGATCTTCAATAATATTTTTGAAGTCATTAGTAGCTTCCTTGATTGAAGAATTACAATTCGGTAAAGGAAGAACTAGCCCAAAATCACTTAGATTGATAGAGACATCATCAATATTCCTTTCCAATTCAGAATCATCACACTAAATTCTGAGAATCCTTCATCTTCTTCTAAAGCTACTTTGACAGCTTCATCATCATTTTTTGAGTGAATAATGCCATGAGAATGAAACCCCTTTACATAATCATGAAAAGGACCATCAGAAACTGACTTATTTTCAAACAAAGTTGAATCATGGTTGACGGAGGAAGGTGAATTCATTTAGCCGATCTTTGAGATTTCTTTTGCTCTCTCAAAACTTCTATAAGATACTAATTATCCTCGAGGTCTAATTTCAAGAAGAATAATCCATACATCTCTGAAAACTTTAAAAAGATTGTCATTATTATCCCAATTGTGAGTTTTGCAAATACCATTGTATTTAGCAGCTTCCCTTGGATGATAAATTTTCATAGGAGTATTGAAGGAAGGAATGGTTTCCTCCCCAATATCGTTGAACAAGGATCTTGTATTCTTTGCTTTTGTCATGTATAATTGGAAGTGGGGAGAACTAAAAATATATATATATGTATATATATAGTTTTTTTTAACAAGAAACAAAAAAAAATGATCAAGGATACAAACCCCCAAAAGGGAGTGAAAAGGATTAAAGAGCCAAATAAAGAACCATCTCCAAACATTACAAGAGCATAAAACATTTAAGAACAAATTTTCAATTTGAAATAGTTGGGGCTTTTGGACATCAAATTTTCAATTTTTCTTTAGAATTATTAGACGGTGATCAGCTAGCAAAGATAGGCATTGCCTTTATTAGAATTTTGATTGCTATCTATTTAGCATATTTCAAGGTGGCTGATGAATGGTAGTTGACTTCTATACCCTCAGATCCTGCCGCTAGTGCTGATTTGGCTGTGGTTTTGATGCAAGAAGGATTGGCACATGTTCTCCTTGTTGGAAAAAGGTACCTGTGTTGTTATTGGGATAACGTTCTGGTTTTCCACATAAAATATATGTGAGCAGTCATTTTGATATATCGATGGGCATGGAGTTTATATTAACCAATTTACCCTCAGCTTTTCTGGAAACATGTATAGAGATTTATTTGAAGATTTGCATGGTCTTGTTGTCTATTTTTAATATGGAATCTTTGTTATTAATGAAAATCCTGGTCTGTTGTCAATTATTATTTTGTCTGTAGATAATAAATGTTTCGTTGACAGGAATGTAATATACAAAAACCTCCCAGGATTTTGGGAGAAAAAATCCAATTGAAGGCTATGAAGGTGGGGGAATAATTACAAAACTTCTTGGAGCAAGAACTCCAAAGGGAGGCTTAAAAACAATAAAATTGAAATCCTTAAAAACATCCAGAAAACTTCTTCGGATTTCTTAAAAAATCATTTAATTATAGGCCCTTGTCTTTCTTTCAGAAGTAAATTCCTCTCTAACAATAAAACACAAGAATACAATAATTTTCTTTACCAACAATCGCTTTGTTCAACTACTATTTACTTGGGGAGTATGGTTAGGAAGAAATATAATTTCCCAAGGAGAGGGTCCTTTGGTGTGAGTCATTTGGAGTAATATTTTTCTTTTTTTCTTCTTAGGGGCTGTCTAATTTCTCTAATTACTATATGATCTGAGCCCATTGGAAAGAGTTATCATAACTCCTCTGGCTTTTGTTGGCTTTTACCTCTTTCATCTAAGAAGTACGAACACAAACATGCGATCGACAAGATGACACATTATTTTTTGAAAACAAAGACACATACATGATAAGGATGCATTTGTTTAAATATCTCAAATATATTTTTTGAATGTTTTTATACTTACCTGGATGGGGTTAATGGGTGATTAGAAAGGCCCATGGGATAGGCTGGTTACTTCCACCGCACATGCCCGTTTAAGATCTGTCCAAACATCATTATTTATGTTAGTGGGGGCCTGCATTCAAAAAATTATATCTAAATGTTTTTACATGTATAAATGATTTTGATGCTAAAAATTTATTTTAAGTTATATATTTGGAAGGAAATATGAAAGAAGTGATTCCAGAAGTTGAAATTTGATACTCTTCCACAGTTTAACTATTTCTTTTCCTGCATTTCTTTTTATGTTCCCCGGCTCATTTTTCCTTTGCATCCAATAAAAAGAGCAATTTATTTTTTCAACGTTCACTTTCTGTGAAGAGTCTTTACCTAAATATTGCAATGCTATGCATGTGATTTTGTTTTTTTTATCAAGTCTAAATATTATTATGGTGATTTGTGTGTAACAGTATGACAATTACTCGAGCCAGAATAGAAACTTCAATTCCTCGCAAGCATGGGCCTGCTATTGCTGGTTATGAGTCGGTATGATTCTGCCAGCTGGAGTAACTTTTCACTTCTCGCAAGATCAACTGTAAAAGACAATGATGTTCTAGTTGTTAGTTGGTTAGAAACTGATACCACCAACTTTTATTTTTCTTCCACAGGCCTTGAATAAATTCTTTGAGAATGTTTTGCAGGTAACYCTTATCAAAATTCATATATTTTGCAGGCCTTGAATAAATATTGTGATGTCTTGAATACATTCTCACGTAAATAAACAAAAGTATGCATGGTCTTTAAAGTTCTAACTGGTTTTTGTGCTTTATGTAGGCTTTCTTGAAGTATGTTGATTTTAATGTCGTACGCTGTGCAGTGATAGCTAGTCCTGGATTTACAAAGGTCTGCGGTAAATCCAAAACAATCTCTCTAAAATATTTATAAATAGAACTTCAAAACATGCTTTTGGTAGTGAATCTTGTTAGACGATGACATACACTAATCATTATCTTTTTTTTTTCTCTTTTTTATTTTTCTTTTTCTTTTTTTCTTACGGTTCGAATTTCATTGTAGTTTATTTTCATTTTATTTTGGTTTTGTATCTGTGCATCAGGACCAGTTCCATCGGCACTTATTATTGGAAGCTGAAAGAAGACAACTAAGACCTATTATTGAGAACAAATCACGTGTAGTTCTTGTACATACAAGCTCAGGATACAAGTTTGATCTTATTTCTTTCTCTGATGCTGAATTAAATTATTTAAGTGAAATTTAAGACATGCAATATCTCAAAGTAGTTACTCGTAATCTCTTCTTGATAGGCATAGTTTACGAGAAGTCTTGGATGCTTCAAACGTCATGAATTTGATAAAAGACACTAAAGCAGCTCAAGAGGTTCTTTAACATTTATATTTTATTCGTGTATGCTATTTATTGCAAGCTTTATGCATTCAACCTTGCAGTAGTGCGCGTTAGCATCCTCTTCAAGTTAATTTTTCGTTTTATTCTTTACCCCCGTTTCTTCTATCTAGGTGCGAGCGCTAAAGGTTTTCTTCAGCATGCTCTCAAATGTGAGTTTCCAGTTCTAGGTTTTTTACATTGAAGTTACTTTTGTTAAACATATCACATATTGATAATGATTTTGGACCTTTTTGTTCATGTATTAACATATCATGGTTGTCTGAAAATTTATTACTTTAATTAAGATAAGCTTATGAGATTGCATGTATGGGGCATCGGTCACGTGATGCCTATTATGAAAAGGAGAAGTTTGAACAAATTATGAATGATGGATAGTTTTTAAGTGGATATTATCATATGTAACGAACTTAATTCGGGCTGAAATTAAATTAATTTAGAGTTGGAAGAAGGAAAATACTTGGTCCTTAAGGAGCAATCTTGTCATTACCATGGTTAAATATTTGTCAACTAAGAGAGAAATCCAAAAGCAGAAACTTTTTATAAAAATTAATGAGTTGTCAAATTTTCAAGGGAGGTGAGGACAAGATTTGGTCCTCACCGTTAAGGAGCCAAGGATTTTTCTAAATGTGAACCTAGACTAGAGGTATGAACACAAAAAAATGTCTAAATGTCATCCTCAATGGTGTTTTCATATTATTTTTTGACAAGTGGTTGGTCTACTGGTCCTGCATCCTACTGTGTAGCACACACGAATGGAATGGAAACTAAGAGAAGCTGAGGGTATTCTGTTAGAAGTATTTAAATTTACCAAGGATATTGAGGATGAATGAGGCATTGGCATACCATTCTGAGTTATTTTAAGAGTACTTCGCTCTGAAAATGCGTAAAAATCCCATAGATGTCGGTATTTTGAGGACAAGTAAGGCCAGTTTCTCTGGACAGTTGTTTTCTGCTCGGTAAGCGTTCATGAAATAACAGTGCATTTTGAGCATTGATATGTATCTTTGAGTGAGGCAGGAGACGTTTCATGCTGTAGTTGATCTAAAATTGTTTATGTGGTTCTGCTTGGCCTAAATGATGCCCTCAGAAAATTAGGTTGCCTATTTTCTTAATTTGTTTGCACATGCCGGTTCTCATACTGCTTCTATCTCATCTCTGTTATGTTGACTCCTTGTTGCCATTGTTCAGGACTCAGACCGTGCTTGTTATGGACCGAAGCATGTCGAGGTTGCCCATGAACGAATGGCTATCCAAACGCTTCTCATTACCGACGATCTCTTCAGGTGGTGTTTCCCTTGTAACGATTTTCCTTTATAACTATCTATCGCATGGTTTTTTTTTTAATCTCGAATAACATGACATTCTGCAGGAATAACGATATAACGGTGCGACAAAGGTACGTCAATTTAGTTGATTCAGTTAGGGATTCGGGAGGTGCCGTCCATATATTTTCGTCTATGCACGTCTCCGGAGAACGTAAGTACGCGTTTGTGTAGCTTTTATTCTTTTGGTAGACTGCTAGTAGTTCTCAACAGACCTAAAATCACGTTTAGGAGAATGGATTCTGAATGAGGAGAAATTAGAAGGGATAGAAGGATAGTTATAAATCACATTCTGGTGGTGATCATAACTCTATGATTGCAGAAACACCCCTGAAGATTACAAAATATAGAAATCATACCCTTGTTGATTACATCGTATAGTGTCTTATTTCCTTTCTTCTTTCCCATATGTTGCTATGTACAGAACTAGCTCAGATAACTGGCATTGCAGCAATTCTACGTTTTCCGCTACCAGAGCTCGAAGACATCGAGATGTAATTATTGTTGTGTGGATGAATTTTTATAAAGTTGTTTTTTCCCTAAAAGAAATTAAGTTTTCGGCCATTGGTCTGCATGTAATAAGACGTTGCTGTCTCTGTATTGTTCTAATTTGTAGATTGAATAAACATTCTAGCCTATATATGTATACACAAAGTGTATGTCTTATTGCCAAGCAACTCTCACATATTAAGTCATATTTTCTGGAATGGTCCTCTTTATTTTCAAATTTGTCTTGAAAATATAACCGTCTTAGTTTTTATGTCATGTAATCTATTTTTCAGAAATGTTTTTCGAAGTAATTATGGGTGTGTTTGGTTGATCCGAAAACAATGGATTCGATGAAAAAAAGTTGTATTCTATGGTTTAAATATTTTTTTATATGTGTTTGGTAGTAGATCTGGAAGTTGAATATCAATTTAAAAAAATTATTTTTAGTAATATTTTTGTAAATTAATGATAATTGTTATCAATTAATTATACATGCATGACGTTTGATTTGCAAGGTCAATCAGCTATAAAAAAAGTAAGCATTTTGTCGATGCCTAATTTGTTTTGGGTATGCAAATATTGTGAAATTATTTCTGAGGTATTTTACGATTATTATAAAAGAACCAATGTGTACCTCCATTATTAAGGAAGACAAGTTTAATGTCAATAGTGCAAAGAAATGAGATGCAAATGACTCTTTATATATTAGATTTAAAAGTCTAATGTATGTTCAAATTTGCGCCTATATGCTTTTGTAATGATAATATTGGTTGATACATTAGCGGATTTGGCATACATCATGGTGGAATAGTGAACATGGCATAAAATATTCTAAGAACTAAAAAGTGACATGCTCACTTATTAGAAGTTAGACAATGTAGAGGTCATTGGATTTTTCTAATTCAGATCGAAGTCACAACTACTTTACATCGGTATTTATATAATGATAGATGTGCAAAAATTAAGCATACCCAATTATTGGTAGTAAGTTAAGGGATGAATATCAATCTTATAAGGACTACAACATGAGCTTAGTTTAGCGTAATTGGCACTGGTCTCTAATCAAAAGGTCAAGAATTTGAATTTCCTCACCCCCACTTGTTGTAGTCAAGAAAAAAAAATCCAACTATGCAATTTTGATGCTCGAAAATTATTTCTAATCCTCGAACTATAGCACTTGGATATAGGTTATAATAAGGAAACCCAACATGAAGAGCATCATTCAAACACAATTTACCTAGTTTTGCAAGCCAAAAATGAATGTCGACACGTTTGAATTCTCTACTTGATCAAGTATGAATCTACTTGCATCATTTGTGCATTTCCACTAATTCTTAACCCTTTCAAGATTAAAAATTAATTTGTAATCTATCTTAGAATAAACACGAAATACCCCCAAGTGAACTACACGATGAATGTGTTCATATTTCTTTTAGTCTTTCCATTTATGTGGTGAAGTAGGTTGCCAAATGGAAAAAAATTCTAGTACCGTAGAAATATCATATGTCCTTTGTTCACATATAATTTTGCTTTCATAAATACTTTTTTCATGTGAATCCCACGTCATTTTTAATACGATGCTGACGTGATAAGTAATGAATGAAATGAGTATCCATACATCATAGAAATTTTTCCTCTGGGATGATTTGGACCATTAAATGAGTTGGATGTTGACTCATAATTCATTTTTCACATTGGCAAGCTATTTATAAAGGAAGAGTGCCCTCGTCTTTTGTCTTTTCTGCCAATTCACCTTTGCTATATAGCACTCCTGAGATAATTAGTAAGATGCTAACATAAGCTTAGCTCATTGGTTAAGATACCTTTCTCTTTCCCTAGAGATTGGAAGTTTGGTCTTCCATTTCTTCCATTTCCTCATTTGTTGTACATGCACGTATCCGAAATTATCATATAATTTGAAATTTATATTAAACCAAAAGTGCCGTTACCATCATCGGTTTGTATAGTAGTCGGGTTGTTATACGACCTCTACTCTCCCTAGCTCGATCTGCAGTGCATTGGCAGCAACCCCAAGCTCATCTTCACTCCACGCCTCGGATCGACGATCAAAAGTGTTAGCTTCGTCATCTGAACCAGTGGTTTGTCAATAACCCTTGATCAAGGGTTGATTCTAATCCACGCTATTTTGAGTATTAGTTGTGCAATATTGTTCCTAAAGTACATATAATTGAGTTAAAGCAGTGAACATACACAGTGTATATCTTCCTTCTTCATTCGTTTTAGCATGATGTTCTGTCCAATTTTATTCTAAACAGTTTACGTGTTATTCCGTTTTTATTTCCTTTGTAGATCTTTAGCCAATTACAGAGAGATTCTGTCAAACCAATATGAAAGAATCTGGCTGAGAGTTACATTTCTAGTACCAGCTAATTCATTCGGGCGAGACATCTTGCGATGTCCTGATAAAGATGAAATTCTTGCTGAGTGCTTACTCCCTTGAAATTCTTGCTGAGTGCATACTCCCTTCAAGTTCGAAAGAGAAAGGGTGAAACTATGGTTATGCAGAAGTGTTGTAATTAGTAGCATTCAATTTATAACATCTGTAAACATCTTTTATTACTTAATTCTGATGGCTTCTTTTTATTCTTCACCTCTCGGTGTTCGTCTTCTTCCAAGCACGAAGCTAAATTAATTTCTAATCCTTCTATGAAATGCCTGGGTGGTTTTCTCAAATAAAGACAAGTGTCTGTAAGAGCAAAATGAGGAAGAACACGATCTAGAAAAGATGTTATTCCGTCGAACCCACTACTCTGAAACCAAAATTCGACAGCACTACAGTGCTAAATAGTTAGTTGTCGAATACTTCTCAAAATTAACACAACACCCGAATTCAGACGTGCAAAACAGATTGGAATTAGGTTAGAATAAAATTTGAAAACCAGATAAGAAACTAAAAGAGAAAAGTAGAAGAATTTTTGTTTTTCCATTATAAACCATTTTTCAACTCCAAAATCAACACCAAAAGCAATTTTTATGTTTTGAAAACCATCTTTTTCTTTTTTGACATTCCTAACAGTGTCAAGAGAGTAGTATGCTCAATGCTCATGATCATACTTGTCCAAGGCTTGTTGTTTATGGCTGCATTCCAATGACAATATTTTCTCACATATATACGTATGCTCAATGCTCATGATCATACTTGTCCAAGGCTTGTTGTTTATGGCTGCATTCCAATGACAATATTTTCTCACATATATATTTTCATGCTCTATATTTATAAGTTTCACAAGTAAAATGTTTTATAATGTACTGTAGGGTATACCTAGTCAACTTCTTACCTTGAGTTGTATGCTTGCTTAGCTGTTGTTTCTCTTTGCTTTGCAGCCTATAACAAGCTTACCAAAATACTTTCAAATGATTTTCCAAATGTTTTCTCCATCCACGTTTTCTAAAATCGTTTTTCTTGAAACGTGACTGGAGGTTGTGAGATAGACCTAGTGTTCTATTGGCTGTGACACTTTTAGTTGACTAACTTGGTTGTGAGGGAGCAAGTGCTGCACAACCGCTTTGTGGACTTGATCAAAGTTACGATAATCGTGACAGTTGGTATCAGAGTCTAGTTCTCTGATTGAGATTAGTGATCATGTCGGCAGCGAAACTAATGGAATAGTTGCATGTTGACTGACTCGTGGAAATTGAGGAACAAATGATGTATCTAAGGGAAGTTCCTGCAATATTCAATTTCCATAAAATCAGCTAGAGGAGTTGTCCAGCAAAGCCAATGGAATCGATGATACTTGAATAGATGCATTGCCTGTGAAAGAGTTATTGCTAAAGGTTGAGACTAGAGAGTAAAGTTGTGAGAACGAACATCTTCAAGCATGAAGATAGCTTGACGAGCTCTATTGCTCATATGGAAGAGCATGCCAAAGAGTTGGACAGCTCTCAAGAGGCGATCCTTCAGGTGGTCAGCGATCTTTCTAACGCCTTTTGAACTACTAAGACGATCGAAAATTGTTGAGATGAATACCAAAGGAATTCACCATGAGAGCCGTGAGAACCCAAGGTCTAACAGAGGATAATGCCCAGTTTAACAAAAGGCCAGAACATTACCAAACTGAAAAATCCACCCTTGCCCTCATGTGCCAACAACACAAAACTCCAAAAGAATCCGAATCATCAAACAGGAAAAGGCAGATGAAATACAAAAAAGTAATCGGATTCCAGTAAGAAAGCCGTCTGAAGTGTGGAGAATCCCACTGGGCGCTGCCAAATGCCAAAATTCTCTCTCTCATATTCCACTCCACAACTTTGAACAAAACACGGAAAAGGAGAAAGGGTTGTTAATTTATGAAAAGCAAAGATTTTTGACTAATCCCAATTACTTTAATCCTCTAGTCAATCACATTTCCTTCCAGTTCCCGCTTCCTTAATTTCTTATCACTGTTCCATGATTGTAGCTTATCAGTAAAGTTATCACTCACTCTCTTAAACATTTCCAAAACACCATTCGAAAGTCGGAATTCGTCTCATTTTGGATCATTCTCCGTCCTACACTGGCCCAGAGATCCAGAAGCCGAGTTCTCAGACTTTCGGAAGGGCAGATCCTCTGTCGGGAATTGATAATATTCGAAAATCCCACGTCTTAATCGCACCCCAGATCCCATTTCCTTCCAACTTTTCTGCATCTCGATTCGTGTTCGATTTCTGGGTTGTTGGAAAATATTGCCAATGTCATGCCCGAGCAACAGTTTCCGCTACAATGGCACCCTCTGCGCATGCCCACCGGGCCATCTTTTCGATCTGACCACCAACAGCTGTGGCCTCTTCAGCAGCCCTTCGGCCATTGTCATGGGCCGCGTCGAGAGCTCTGCCGTTAGTTACCCTGGGACCATGTTCTCTTTTGATTCCCTCAGGAAGTTAACGCAGTCTCAGGTTGTGTTTCTTCAGGCTACTCTTGTCATGCTGCTTTCCTGGCTGCTCTTCTGCTTGTTTTTGAGATTCATGAAGCTTGGGGATGGCAGAAGCATCTGGTTCAGGATGAGATGGTGGGTTACCAGACTGGACCTCTGCTTTGCCACAACTCATTGGCTGGTTAGCTGCCCTCGAGTTTCATTCTTTCTTCATTATTTTTCTGATCCTTTCAAGATAGTTAGTGATTTTTCTATTCATATGTGGAATCCTTCTGCTGCTTTTGCTACTTTGTAGTGGCTTTGATCATGGCGGCTTTG